GTCCGGTCGGCGACACGAGTGGCTATTTTTACACCACCAAGCGCCGCGCTGGCAACACGCGAGCTGCACTGGTCACATTAGCTTTAAGCGTGTTTGAGACCGAGACATGATACCATGATCTGAAACGTCAATGACTTTCAATCCGACCCTGGGACATTTCAAGCTTTTAAATTAAGGTCACGAAGAGCGGTCGCGAAGCTGTGGCGTCTTGCGGAAGATGGTTTTACAACTCAAACGGCTTGTTCTTCGACAACTTTGCCTGCTGTGCCTTGGCTCAACAGCAAATCTGAAGTTGATGAACGACAGAACCGAATTTAAAAAAAAAAGCCCGCCTCAGGTCCTGACCCCGGTGTCACCAGGCACAACCTTCTTTGGCGGAAGGACCGTGGTGCGCGGCCATTCACTGCTACTCGGCTTGGGCTTACGGTTTTGAAGTTTGTCGCCCCGGCGCTGGCAATGACATCCTGAGGTCTTTCAAACGGTGGAGAGGAGCATGCTCTATATGGGGCTGATGCTTTTTGATCCACTCGAATCTGAAGTGGTGTACCTGCGCTGTGACACGCGCGGGATGCTCGCCGAAGTTCGTGGAGCTCTGACTTCCCGACAGGCCCTGACAGCCGTGCCGCCCAGACGACCAGCGGCAGAGGATGAATGGATCATCCTGGGCGGAGCAGCTTCGGCTGATGAGGACGGTGACTACCTGACAGTGTAACCGTCTTATTTTAGCCACAAAACGTGGCACGGAATGATTGCCTGCGAAACGCAGGTCAATCCAGGAATCGAGAGGCGTAGAAAGTATGCGCATCACTCCTGTGCATCAGACAGGACATAATAAGGCAACTTTGTGCTCTGTCCCGCAGTTGTACACAGCCTAGGCTATCTGGGTACGACCTGGCTTTAAATAGCGATTCCTCATCGCTCGCACTTTTTTTCGATCCGGACGTCCGCGGCCATTTTATTTTAAACTTATAGCTCGCATTACAGGGGGTCCGTCGAGCCATGGCAATGGAGAAATTAGCATTGGACAAGTTTGAGGAGGCTACTTTGCTCTCTAGTGAGACCACAACGGTAATTGTAGCCTGGGATGACGTGACTGATCGATTAGATGACTCTGAAAATGGCCATGCCCTCCTGGCAGCGCTGGGTGTTTCTCAGGCTGAGATAGACACTGTGACCCGCATCCTGCGCAAGGTGCAGAACCGGGCTCATGACTACAAGAACGACCTGAAGGCTGAGCTTCAGACTGCTCGGCAATCGCCGGAACCGCGCAGTTTTGCCATAGATGTCATGTACCAGGAAGCTGAAGCTGCTCACCCAGGACCACGAGTATTTGAAAGCGCTTTGCTGCCGGGCGAAGCGCTGGGCTCGGAGGTGTCGGAGGGCAATGCTTAGCAGGCATGCCAATGCCAGGCTGTCACTGACGTGAGTGACTGAGGCTCGACGAGGTGTTAAAAATTAGGGAGCGAGCGCTGATTTTTTCTTATATTTTGATTAATAATTATACCGGTGTCACATGAGCAATCGCAAGCTGGTGGTTTTCGAAGCCATTTTGGCACCAGTGGCAGTCGCACGCTGTCACTCTGTTTAATAAACAGAGGAGTGACATTTGTCAATCAGAGCCTGCGCAAGTGTCTAGTCCAATGGGTAAACCATCGCTTCTGCCGTTGAAACTGGTGGGCCAGCACGTCCGCTCCTGCCGGTCAAAGTCAGGGCGCTGTGGCCTGTGCCACTGGCACAAAAGTAGGCCGGGATGGGTCCAGGGCTTATGTGACCCTAAGTGGGCCAAGGTTACTGTCCAGGGCGGAAAGTTTGCCAGAATTGGGTGCACTTACTGTTGCTTGGCAGAGACAGGTGGCCCGTGGGCTGAGTTCTCCCAGAAACCATTGACTTTGAGGAAATTCCAATTCAATAGACATGAAGCGTCCGCTGTGCATAAGAAGGCGGCTGAAGCGTTTCAATGTTCAGAGAGAATTGTTTTCGCCCCAGCGGCCAGTGAGTTTAACGACGCCTTGAAGGAAATGGTGAAAGGCGGAAGTTGCAGGGACGGAGGCTGCATGTCCGACAAACGGACGCAGATGCGGTGGTGCCTGTCAGAGGCAACGCTGTCACTGAGCCGTGACAGGCTGCAAAGTGCCGAGGCAATGTCAGTTATGAGGGATGAAAGAAAAGGCAGGCTCCTCCTCAGGTACCGAGCGACGCTGCCAGATCTGTCCATTCACAGTGGTGTGTTTGGATTCATCCCGACTCAGGGGTTTGCTGACTCGATTGGCGAAGCAACTCGGAAATCGATCACTGATTTCTGCACCCCCAAGCTTAACCCACCCAGGCAATTCAAGCAAACCACCTGCCCAGTTGACCAAAAATTGCTCCGAAATGTTCAGGAGAAAACCCAGATTTTGGTCACTGATGCGGCAGGTCCTGAGTTGCTAGCTTCCCGCATTTTGAGCGGGAAGAGACAAGCGGCAAGCGCCGGCTTTCAGGATCCCTTCTTTAAACGGGTCCGAGCGATTGGACGAGACGCGGCGCATGCGTCCACTCGTTTGTTGAAGCGGCCATTCGAGGCACATCCTGAGATTGAGAAGTTGCTGAACGAATTTGTGACCGGGAAGGACAGTTTCGCGCAAAAGGTGTAATATTCCCCGTTGTATCAGCAATGGTGGAAGAAAAGCCTGGTTGATGAGGCTGGAGGGAGCGATCTGTCCGCGGCAAAGCACAGGTTTGCCAGCTATATGAACCCGCTGGCCAAAATCAGCAAAAACATGGGCGCCATGATGCAAGTGTGCCATCAGATCGCCACCGTCAGATCTGATGACTCCAGTGGGAGTGCATGGGCGCACCGACTGATTGAAAATTTCTCGGGGAAGAAAGCAGTTGCCCTGGGACTGCTCGCCGATGCTGCTTGTACCTGCCATGACCTGACCCGGTGGCTCGACTCTGAAGACGTCGATATATGCCAGGTGAACAGCCAGGTGCAATGCTTTGTAGCATCACTTCGGACCCTGTTTGGAGCCAAGAAGGTGTTGGAGCTGCCAACATACACAAAGCACATCGTGGAAGAGCTTACGCGTCGCCCCATCACCATTCTGCACGGCAGTCCTAGACAAGTTAGAATCTCTCAGACAGATATTGCAGAGGGCATGAAAATCTTGCAAGAGCCTTACCAGAGATTATAAAAACTGATTGTCGTCGTCATACGGTTACCACATAATATTCTTTTAAATATTTTAAATCGTCGTCAACTGAGGAATGGGCTGTCGTATCAGAGGCCGCTGTGGCCACTGAATTCCCAAGCTGGGATGTCATCGCCAGCTTTGATGCAGGGCGCAGGTGAGTCTGCGCAAGACCGACCGGAAGCCAAGACCAGCCTGGCTAAACTTGCCCAAGTGTTCCAAGTTAACTTAGGAAAATTGACACGACAATTTATTGCCTTCTTACCCATGGCCAGCGCCATTCAAAAGCAAGCTGGTCTGGACAACCGCGCAGCTTGGTCAGAAGCTTTGATTCGATCTCAAGGACGCAAGTTGATGCGAGACAAGTATCCCTGCGCTGAGCTGCGGAAGGCGAGATAATAATAAAAATTCTTAATTTTTTTCTGCAATCATTGCACTTAAGACTTGAACATGCCGCTGTTTGCCGCTGGGGCTGCCGCAGGTCATTTGCGCTTATTTAGCCTGGACGAACTCAAGCTCCGGAGTAGAGCAACTCTTTTCAAAACTTCAGAACAGCCCGACTGAGCAAGGAAAC